GGCTGCTCTTCACCCTTCCTCTCTGAAACCCAGAACTGGCACATCCCACAGGGGATACAGCCCTCCAGGCTGTACAGGCCACAGGGGCCTAGGCTCAGGGCACCAGGCCCAGCCCAACACAGAAACCAACTGCTGCCGGCCTTCTGCCCACTGCCCAGTCTTAAAGTGATGGCTCCTATGAGAATGTTGTCCTATTCAAATATTTTAAAAGTATGGCTCTTCTTCCTGGAAAATGCATAAACATAGCATTCCATGTACAATTTCACAGAATTCTGAAGCTCTACTAGGGACTCCAGGTGATGACACCTTACATAAGGTGAAGAGGAAAAGTGACTGAATTCTAGATCTGGTCATTTCCTTGGGAACCTCTCCTGCCCTCCCCACCCCGAGCAGCAAGCCCCAATGCCTCACCTTCTTTGTCTGTCAGCACCTCCATGCGCCCGCTGAACATGGCCTTGAGCATGGTGTCGTGGCGGGTCAGGGCCCGCACGGTGGTATAGTACAGAGAGCCGCCCACGTTAAGCTGGATGTACTTGTTGCCCAGCCCTCCTCCCTTGAATCCACTGAGCTTGGGCTTGGCCCCTGAGGCCGGGCACAGGCAGGTGTCCCCCGACATCTCCCGCTGCAGGTAGATCACCACACGGCAGGAGGTAGGCTTGGAAGGCTCCGCCGTGGTGGAAAGGGTCACGAGTGAGTGGCCAGTGGAGGCCAGAGCCTCATACTCTCAGTGCTGGACATGGGAAACGGGAGAGAAGACAAGAGTCAGCTGAGAGAGCCCTTAGACCAAGAGGAGACAATAGCGGAAACATGACCGTACTCATTCTCTCCTTGACAAGCCCAAGCACTGCTCCCTGGCAGAGGCTAAGTCCCTGCCATTTTGCTTTCTTTTTTTTTTTAATTAGAGACAGGGTCTCACTCTGTCACCCAGGCTGGAGTGCAGAGGCGCCATCTTGGCTCACTGCAACCTTTGCCTCCCAGGCTCAAGTGATCCTCCCACCTCAGCCTCCTGTGTAGCTGGGACCACAGATGCGCACCACCACACCCAGCTAATTTTTTTTTCTTTCTTTTTTTGGTAGAGACAGGATTTTACCATGTTGCCCAGGCTGGTCTCGAACTCCTCAGCGCAGGCGATCCGCCCACCTCAGTCTCCCAAAGTGCTGGGATCATAAGCGTGAATCACCCGTGTCTGGCCTCCCTGCCATTTTTACTATAGCAGGAACCAGGGCTGGAGGCAGTCTCCCAGACTCCTGCCCTGGTCCCCTCATCAGCCTCCCTGAGACTCAGCTCTATTCAGGGCCTCAAGGAAGACAAGCAAACCCATGGAACCAGTCAGAGAGGGCCAGAGGAACAGATCACCCTAGAGATCTACCAGTCAGATTCCAGTTACTTTCTTGTCAAGGTTCCCAGGATCCCAGACTTCCAGCCAAGCCTACTGGGAATCCAGCTAGCCTAGGAGTTTCCCAGGAGCCAGAGGGACAGGATGCACTTCCTTTCTAAAGATTCCAGCCTCAAGAGTAGCCTGTGCCAGTGTTTATTTTGAGCACCACCGAGAGTCTGGCTTCAGGAAGGAAAGTAAAAGCTTCAGGAGAGAATTGAGTAAGCCAGGGTGGGGGGTGCTGGCCAGTGTTCTTGGCGCAGGTTACCTGGGCTTCGGCTGGGGCTTCCTGACCTTCCCCTTTCTTGGCACCAGGCTTGTCCCAAGTTCCTGAAATTGTCACCATTTTTCAGGGAAGAACAGCTATAGGGTGGCTGTTTTCCTTTCTTTTTCCTGAGAGGGAGCCCAGCCCTACTCTCCTCTTCTCTCCCAATAAGAATGGGAGAAGAAAGGACTAGAAAAGATCAGGGGATAAATCTAAAAACAATGAGGTAAGCTGTGTGCTGCCACCTGCCTGTACTCCTGGCTACTCAGTAGGCTGAGGTGGGAGGATCTCTTGAGCCTGGTAGTCAAGACCAGCCTGGGCAACATAGCAAGACCCCATCTCTTGGCATTTAATATATATTAGCTCATTTAACTAATTCAGCAATTAAACTACTGAGTGCCTACTATGTTAAGCAATAGGGAACAATGAAAAAACATTGTCTTTGCCTTCAAACAGTTCAAAGGAGCATCATAACAGGAATTTTTAAAAAGAGAGAGAGCTAGCATTTATTGTACCCCTATGTGCCAGGCACTGGGTACTCAGAAGAGAACAAATATAGAAAGTCATGTCCACATGGAGCTTACATTCTAATGGAAGGAAATAGACTATAAACAAGGACTTGAATAAATAAACAGATAATTCCAGAACCTGATAAATGCAATAAAGATAATAAAACAGTGATATGAGAGTGATTAGGGAGAGGCACTAATTTAGACAGAGGGACAGGGTAAGCATCTTTGGGAAGGTGACATTTCAGCTAAGGTTTGAAGAGAGCATTCTACACAGATGGAAGAGTAAGTGCAAAGTTCCTGTTAGAAACAAGTTTTAGGGGCCGGGTGTGGTGGCTCACACCTGTAATCCCAGCACTTTAGGAGGCTGAAGTGGGTGGATTGCTTGAGCCCAGGAGTTCAAGACCAGTCTGGGCAACAGTGAGAGTTTGTCTGTACAAATGAAAAAAAATTAGCCAGATATGGTGGCTCATGCCTGTGGTCCCAGCTGCTTGGGAGGCTGAGGTGGGACGATTGCTTGAGCCTGGGCAGGTCAGCCTGGGTGACAGGGAAATCTCGTCTCAACAACAACAAAATAAAAACAAGTTTTAGGATCAGAAATAAGGTCATAATGGCTGGTGCACAGACAGTAGGGGGAAGTTGGTTTGATGTCAAGTCAGGGAAGGCAGGTGTTAGATGATAACAAAGTGTGGATTTCATACTAATTGCTATTACATATATACACACACACACACACATATATATATATATATATTTTTTTTTTTTTTTTGAAACAGAGTTTCACTCTTGTTGCCCAGGCTGGAGTGCAGTGGCACGATCTCGGCTCACTGCAACCTCCGCCTCCCAGGTTCAAGCTATTCTCCTGCTTCAGCCTTCCTGAGTAGCTGGGATTACACGCATGCACCACCATGCCCAGCTAATTTTGTATTTTTAGTAGACATGGGGTTTCTCCATGTTAGTCAGACTGGTCTTGAACTCCCGACCTCGGATGATCCGCCCGCCTTGGCCTCCCAAAGTGCTGGGATTATAGGCGTGAGCTACCGCGCCCGGCCTATTGCTATATAATATATGAATCAATTGGAGAGTTGCAAGCAGAGGAGTGATATGATCTGACTTGCTTGTAGTGTATTTTGAAAAGATAACTGCTGCTGGGTAGAGAATGAATTGTAAAGGTGTAAGAGAGGAAGTGGGAAGACCAGAGGAAACTGTAGTCTAGGCAAGAAGAGATGACAGCGGGCCTGGACCACATTGGTAATAACGGAGACAGAAAAAAAGTGGAATGATTTCACCGAATGCTCATTACATGCAGGAGTTTACAGTTGCTCCTCTCTTGTAAGTGCAACCCAGAAGCAGGGCACTGGTTTCCTAAGTTTACTGCTGTGTTCCCCTAATGGTGCTTAGCACAATGCCATGCACATTTTAAGTATTTAACATATGTCAGTTTGTTAGATTGAAATTGTCCCTGAAATGATTTAGGTAAGTCCCTGGGAAGAATGTCCAAGGAAGTGGACGGCCAGCGTGGGTGCTGTGTGAAGCAGTGAATTCCTTTGGCGGCTTGTCTGGGAGACTCTTTCCTTTGCCACAGAGGTTGGGTATGGGAGGTGAACCCTCACCAGGAGGCTGCCAATGACTAAGAAACACTAGAATGGTATGAGATCACCTTCCCTTCTTCCGCCCACCTCAAAGGAATAAATCCACCTCCCTAACAGGCATTAGCAAGTTCCCTATGTATTTTGTGTCTAGCCCTAGTTTTCCCAGGATCAAAGAAAGCATACATACATGTTCTGTCAATGCAAAGGAGCTCAAAGGATAGGCCTGCCAAGAGAGGTCGGCGGATCCAGAGTTAATCTATTCCTTTCCTACAAAGCAATTGCTTTGAGCCCCTGGATGACGTCAATCAGATTCCGCCCAGACCAATGGGTTCCAGGAATCCTGTGGCAGGTGACGCCCCAGAAAGTAATTCCAGTGAGAATGAAGTTTCCACTGATAGCCACAGTGCTCTTCCTTCCGCACTTTGTGTGTGGATATTTGGGGATGCCTGGGGCTAGGGGCGGATCCATGGCTCACGCAACGAAGCTAATGGGAACCCAAGCAGAACAAAGGGCAAACAGCCGCGGCTGTAGAAAGAGGAGAGGTCTAAAAGGAAGAAGGACCCAGAAATCCGTCAGACACGGAGGACGGCGCGGGGAAAGCTGAGGTCTAGAGTGGGCGGATCTAGCAGAAACCCTAGGTGTAAAGGTTAAGCGTCACCCAAAAAATCCTGGGAAATGTGGCCGGTGTGGGCTCTTCTCTAGCCCGGGCCACTCCTCACTACCGAGAAACCCACACCGATTCTCACGCCCACCCTCCGTGGGAGATCAGAGCTCTCCTTTTCCCCAACGCCGCCCGCGCCTTTTCCCCAGGACCCTGCCGGGCTCGCTATACTCCAGCAGGGGCCGTCCATCCCTTCCCCGAGGGCATCTGCGGGCCCGGCTCTCACCGTCCCCGGGGGCGCCTCTCCTCTCAGCTGGGTGGCCAGCGGACTCCGAGCCGCCCCTAGCCTGCAGCCGCCTGCCCACCAGCAGTCCCGGGCTGTGAGCTCACATCCTGCGCTCGCCGACTCCGCCCGGAGTGCGGCCCAGCCCCGCCGGTCGGGGAGCCTGAGACTACAAGTCCCTGCATGCATAGCGCTCTATCCGGGAAAGGGTGGAGGCGGAATCCCCCGAGGGTCTTCGCGGAGAGAGGAAAGCCACTTCCGGCCGCCTTGCCGGTGCTAAGGCTTCTGGGTCTTGTAGGCCCGACCTCCCCTCGGGTCTCTGTTTCCCAGCAACCTCTGTGGATTCGGGGCTGTAAGTGCTTCCGGGGTCAGGAAGGTAGTGACGTCCTGGGTAAACAGGTTCTGTAGCCGTGGCAGCGGCCGTGGCAGGCTGACTGGGTACCGGCTGCCGCTGACCCGGGAGAAGCTGCCTGTCTACATCAGCCTAGGCTGCAGCACGCTGCCGCCGCGGGGCCGGCAGGTAGGCTGACCTCGGGTCGGGGGATGCGGGCGGACCAGGGGCGAGAGGAGCCTGACAGGCCCGCGTCCTGAGGAAAGAGCCCGGGCGGAGAGAGACGTGGGAATTCCGCCCCACTCTCAGGGGGCGCTTTCACACCCAGGTTAGGCCTGGAGTTTGACGCGTTGATGCTTGCCACGATCTTACGAGGAAACTGGGGATCGGATAAATTCGGGGAATTTACATAGTAAAGAGTCGGCTCTCAGTGCCTCGCATGCATCTAGGAGAGCCTGGGCACACAAATTATGCCACCGCGTCATGCTCAGGGAGCTTAGTCCCAGCTCTTGGGCCAGGTGTTGCTCAGATGCTCAGACACGCGTGTGATGGGAGTTGGTAGAGAATCTGTGAACTCTTTCCCTGCACCCCTTCTTCCATCTTACCTATCTCTTTAAGCCAGCCCCTCCAATCAGATAGGTGGGCCAAGCCAGATTCATGGGAGTCATGCCTGACTTGTTTTTCTCTTATCCCAAAACCCCCACATTCAGTCAGTCCATTACTAAGCCCCAATCACCTCGACTTACAAAACATCTCAACTCGGAACACTTGTCTTCAGCTGCCAGCCTTGGTTACTGTAATGGTCTCCTGTTTCCACGGTCATTCATTCCGCAAACATTTACTGAGTGCCAGTTATGTGTGGGCACCATGCTAGGTGCTAAGGTTAGAGTGGGGAACAAGAAGGTAGTTGGGGCCTTGCCCTTTCTTGTTCCCTCCAATCCGTTCTCCAGGCTAAGCAAGAATGATCTAAGTCTGATTTTGTTGGTTTGCTGAGAACTCTCTGGCTGCCCATTACCCTTCTGATAAAATCCAAGCTCATTACTGTGTCTTTCAGAGCCTTCCGTGATCCAGCTGTTGCCTCCCTGTCTAGCCTCATTCTGTTCCCTTCTCTTGCTCAGTCTCAGTTCTCGGAATGCATCAAATTTCCTGTTGCCTCAGGATCTTCACGTATGTGTTTCCTTCTGCCTGCAATGCCTTGCTTCCCTTTCACTTGACAAACTTTTGGACAGTCTTTAGGTCTGTTTAAGTGTCATTTTTTCAGAAGGCCTCTGTAGGCACTCCCCTCCATTCCGCCAGCCATGAACTGTGTCCTGCCGCACTTCACATAGCACCATGTACTTTTCCTTATACTAATACCACGATTTGTGATTATTTGTTTACCATCTGTCCAGAGGCATTGTTTTCACTAGTCTGTCCCCAGAGCAGGGTCTCAGTGGATGTTTCTGGATAAATGCGTGCTCTCAGGGAAGGGAGTGGAAGTTGAAGCAGATATTTGCTCCCTCATGTTGCTCGAATCTTTCTGGAGCAGCTGGTCAGATTAATGACCTGTAGCTGCGAAAGACTTTTTTTTTTTTTTTTGAGACAGGGTCTCACTCTGTTGCCCAGGCTGGAGTACAGTGGTGTGAACACAGCTCACTGCAGCCTCCACCTCCTGGGCTCAAGCGATCTTCCCAGCTCACCTTCCCAGGTAGCTGGGATTACAGGCGCATGTCACCAGCCCTGGCTATCTTAAAAATTTTTTGTAGAGACGGTATTTTGCCACATTGCCATAGGTTTCGAACTCCTATGCCCAAGTGATCCTCCCACCTCAGCCTCCCAAAGTGCTGGGATTATAGGCATGAGCTACTGCACTGGCCAGATCTTTTTAAAAAGCCCTATTTTAAGGAAGCTACAGATGAACACAGTGCTTCAAAAGGATGATGCTAGCTCACTTACATCAGTGGATTCCAGTGAGGCCAAAGGCTAGAGTCCTCTACAGACAGCTCATAGACACGTATTAGTTGGCCCATGCAGTGTTGGATGTGGGTTTTCCCCCTTACTTAAAAGTTTTGAATTACATACCAACATTGAGATATTGGATTTCTGGTCCTCTTAAAAACCAGAAGTTCTGGCCGGGTGCGGTGGCTCATGCCTGTAATCCCAGCACTTTGGGAGGCTGAGGTGGGTGGATCACGAGGTCAGGAGTTTAAGACCAGCCATGGCCAACATGGTGAAACCCCGTCTCTACTAAAAATACAAAAATTAGCTGGGCAAGGTGTCAGGCGCCTATAATCCCAGCTACTCAGGAGGCTGAGGCAGGAGAATTGCTTGAACCCAGGAGGTGGAGGTTGTAGTGAGCCGAGATCATGCCACTGCACTCTAGCCTGGACAATGGAGTAAGACTCCTGCTCAAAACAACAACGACAACAACAACAACAACAACAACAAAAGACCCAGAAGTTCTGGAAACAGTGAGACTTGATTATTTTCGAACCATTGCTCCTCTTGTGGCACACCTGCCCTAGACAGCCACCCCCAGAATCACCCCATTCAGAACAGGACTTCTCTAAGGAAGCCACGAGGGAAACAGCTGAGGCTGGGGGCAGTGGGGGTAGAGGGAAGGGGCTGGTACAGGTCCAAGTGATGGTAGACTTTGGAGCACCTGGGTTTTAGAATTGGCATAGCAGCTAATTGCTAGATGTAACTAGCATTGCCTCCCTTTTTAAACAGGTCATATGATGTCTATTTTTAATTTTGTGTGTGTGTGTGTGCGTGTGCGTGTGTGTGTGTTTGAGCCAGAACGAGGGTGAGTTTTCAGTATTTCCTTCCCAGAATTGAGGCATCCTTTGGAACAGAAATGCAAGGTGGCTTGGAAAGGGAGAAGATATCTTTGTTAGTTCTCTGTTGCCTACAGAAAAAATCGTAACTCCTTAGCTTGGCATACGGGTCTTCCTGGTCTGGCTCCAGCTCACCTTTTCAGCTCCATCCTTTTTCCTTTCATCCTTAGGCGGGGTAGGTCCTTTCAGTGACTTCAGGCCTTTGTCCATGCTGTTTTCTCTGCTTGGAATACCTATCCCTGGCCTGCTGCCTTGATATGTTCTTGCTGATACTTCATTCCTTTTTGTGTTTTCTGCTAGAAAGAGAATAACCCAACTTTGATTCCCAATTCAGGCAGGCATACATTTTGAGTAATATTCTTACTCCTGACTTTGTATTTTTTAACCATAATTTTTAATTCACCCAGATTTCTTTTATTTGGTTTTTGTGTTGTTCCAGTATGTGTATTTGAGAAGCCTTCTCATGTGCTTTTGGGTACATAACTGGTGATATATAAAGTAAATACACTTATGGCTCACAACTTAGTTCAGATGTCACTCCTTCTTTAACGGCTCTGTCCTCCTCTGGCTCTTTACTGATATTTCTAAACAAGCATTTAACACAGTGTGATTTTTCAGTTTCCGTGTCTGTCTTCCTCCAGCTGAACTATGTGTCTTCAGGGCGGGCACCGTGTTGCATTCATCTTTGTACCCCCAGCATCTAGCAGTGTTGGCATGTAGTAGGCACTCAAGAAATGTGTGTTGAATGAACGATGCCTGTGACAAGCAAGCGGACTTTATTCTTTCCTGACCCTTGCTCCTATGACACACCTCCTCCTGACTGCCACTGTCACTCCTTCAGAGCAGAACTCCTCTAGGAAGTCTGGATGGGAAACAGGTGAGGCTCAGAGAGGTGGTGGCAGAGGGAATGGGGAGCCTTTGGAACATCTGGGTTTTTGGCATTGGTGTCCAAGGGCAGGAACAGGGCTGGCTTGGGCAGCAGGCATTTCATTGGGTGGCTAGGAAGTGATGAGGAATTGGGCTGGTTTCTTTGCAGCCATGGCCAAGGACATCCTGGGTGAAGCAGGGCTGCACTTTGATGAACTGAACAAGCTGCGGGTGTTGGACCCAGAGGTTACCCAGCAGACCATAGAGCTGAAGGAAGAGTGCAAAGACTTTGTGGACAGTGAGTATTGGGGAGATACCGTGTCACTCAGCTTTGAGCTGCCATTCCAACTGTACCCCAGGCTCATCTTGGCCCTGCCACAGTGGAGCTGCTGGCTCCCTGGAGGTCGAATCTGGCATCTGTGAGTTCCCATGTGCCACCCTTCTCTGCCTGCCCTCGTGCTCTCATGTGTCCCCAACAGAGCACCAGTCAAACCAAACACTGGGATGGGGAGGGTGTTTTTAGAGATGCCATCTTTCATTTCTTGCTCTTAGAAACCTTAAACTTTCTGGGAACATAACCATGGCTTGGGGGTGAGAAATAGAATTATGTACTCCTGATTTGATTTCTTCAGAGGAAGTCTTCTTAGTGGCAGGTTCTCTGTTATTTGGAGTTAGAAGTGATAAGTGAAGTTTCTAGAAGCAGCTCAACAGACTTACTGAAGTCATCTTTTGGCTAGAAATCTTCAGGAAGCCTCCTGTCCCAGCAGCCAAGTAAGCCCAATGCATTCAGTACAGAGCCCGATCTAGCTAGAGCAAGGGATTTCTGAGCTTTCTGGGGGCTTCCTAGGTTGTGGAGAGAGCTTGATTAGTGAAAGGTAGCTTGGGTTCTGTCACTAACCTTCTGTGACTGATGTGCCATGCACACACCTCTCTGGGCCTTAGTTTTCCCTCAGTAAGTTGTGTTTCCGTCACATCCAGGACATTGGAGAAAGTGAGCAGGAGATTAGGCACTTAATGCTGTGAGCTCTCTATTTTCTGTGGTTACAAGTGGGAAGCCCCCATCCCCACTGTTAATTGAAATCTGGTGTCATACCCGTAGCTAGTCCAGAGGCAGCGCTTGTGTCCTGAGGCTGCCCTTTTGTGAACAACAGTGCTTCCTGTCATTCCTGGGGAAGCAGGGTTGGGGTCTGTCTGGAGGATGAGCCCAGCAAGGGCCTAGTGCTTTCATAGCCTGAGATCATAGCAGCTGGTTGGCTCAGTGGGGACGCAAGGTCCGGGTATGTCCTGGTCCAGCTGGCCACCCTTCTCTAGGTTCAGACCAAGGGTAGGAGACAGGCCAATAGGCACCAAAGTGTTTAAGTGACAGGGTCTCGCTATGTTCCCCAGGCTGGAATGCAGTGGCAGTTCACAGGCATGATCACACATCCTCTAACTCCTGGGTTCAAGTGATCCTCCCACCTCAGCCTCCTGAGTAGCTGGGACTACAGGTGCTCGCCACCATGCCTGGCTCACACCAAACTATTTTGACACAAATTAGAAGGGGCAGTCAGCTCTGCCCTCGCACTGCCTCAGCACTCTACCGAAGGGCAGTGATGAGACTGAGGAAATATTTTATTTTTTGTTCTTTTTCTGAAAGAAATTGGCCAGTTTCAGAAAATAGTTGGTGGTTTAATTGAGCTTGTTGATCAACTTGCAAAAGAAGCAGAAAATGAAAAGATGAAGGTAAGATCAGCATGTCTTCTGCCTACGTCTTGGCCTGGGACCCTAGTTTACTACCCTCTCATCTTTCTTCCCTCTTGATTTGTTTAGAGGGGTGGGTGGGTGAGTTTTCATTTAAGATTTTAAGGCCGGGCGCGGTGGCTCAAGCCTGTAATCCCAGCACTTTGGGAGGCCGAGACGGGCGGATCACGAGGTCAGGAGATCGAGACCATCCTGGCTAACATGGTGAAACCCCGTCTCTACTAAAAAATACAAAAAACTAGCCGGGCGAGGTGGCAGGCGCCTGTAGTCCCAGCTACTCCGGAGGCTGAGGCAGGAGAATGGCGTAAACCTGGGAGGCGGAGCTTGCAGTGAGCTGAGATCTGGCCACTGCACTCCAGCCTGGGCGACAGAGTGAGACTCCGTCTCAAAAGCAGGAGATTAGGCACTTAATGCTGTGAGCTCTCTATTTTCTGTGGTTACAAGTGGGAAGCCCCCATCCCCACTGTTAATTGAAATCTGGTGTCATACCCGTAGCTAGTCCAGAGGCAGCGCTTGTGTCCTGAGGCTGCCCTTTTGTGAACAACAGTGCTTCCTGTCATTCCTGGGGAAGCAGGGTTGGGGTCTGTCTGGAGGATGAGCCCAGCAAGGGCCTAGTGCTTTCATAGCCTGAGATCATAGCAGCTGGTTGGCTCAGTGGGGACGCAAGGTCCGGGTATGTCCTGGTCCAGCTGGCCACCCTTCTCTAGGTTCAGACCAAGGGTAGGAGACAGGCCAATAGGCACCAAAGTGTTTAAGTGACAGGGTCTCGCTATGTTCCCCAGGCTGGAATGCAGTGGCAGTTCACAGGCATGATCACACATCCTCTAACTCCTGGGTTCAAGTGATTCTCCCACCTCAGCCTCCCAAGTAGCTGGGACTACAGGTGTGCACCAACACACCCAGATTACTTTTTTGTATTTTTTTTTTTTGAGATGGAGTTTTCTCTCGTTGCCCAGGCTGGAGTGCAAGGGTGCGATCTTGGCTCACTGCAACCTCCGCCTCCAGGGTTCAAGTGATTCTCCTGCCTCAGCCTCCCAAGTAGCTAGGATTACAGGCACGCGCCACCACACCTGGCTAATTTTTGTATTTTTAGTAAAGACGGGGTTTCACCATGTTGGTCAGGCAAACTCCTGACCTCAAGTGATCTGCCTACCTTGGCCTCCCAAAGTGCTGGGATTGCAGGCGTGAACCACCACACCTGGCCTCCTTTCATCTTCATATCAGCACTGATGTAGATGGCTTTATCCTTATTTTATAAATGAAGAAATGAAGGCGTACATAGTATGATTGGTGAAAGGCACAAGGCTGAATGGCACCACCAAATGTGCTATTGTGTCTGTGTCCCTGGCTCTAGGAATACTCCTAGACCTGTCTCAAAGCTGCCGTCAAGTTCTTGAGGCACTTTGTGATCAGTAGGTTAATCCTTCTGACTTAACCTAAAAACTTTGGGGCTCCACTCTCTTTTCCTCTCCGGAGACTGACATAGCTCCCAGATGACCCCTCCCCACTTTGAGGACTTGATGCTGTAGACGGTTTTAATGAAGCCATGGCCTTCTCTGGCAATACTGTAGGCCATCGGTGCTCGGAACTTGCTCAAATCTATAGCAAAGCAGAGAGAAGCTCAACAGCAGCAACTTCAAGCACTAATAGCAGAAAAGAAAATGCAGCTAGAAAGGTAAGAAGTCATGATGTAAAGCAAGTTCTTTACACAGCTGAATTTCCACTCTTCCTTCTGGAGTGATCACTTCTTGTCCTTACTCTTCATCATTGTTTTCCCAGGAATAGCATCTCACTTGTCATCCTGATTTGAAGATTTTTAAAAATAAAATTACATTTGATGGGAAGGAAATAGAAAACTTAATATCAAACCACCTCTAGTAGTTTGAGCATGAAAGGGTCTACGAAGTTGGCTGGCTCTCTGAAAGAAGACTTTCCTAGGGCTGGAGATTTCTCATGGGTGGCTCTGGGTAGGGCTTTGCCTTTCTTTCTTCATTCTGAACTCACACCATTTCTTGAAATCATTTAAACCTCTATATCCTTCTCTAGAAGAATTAAGTCTGTGGTTTACTTCATCTTTTTTTTAGGGCCTCTAACAATTTTGTTTTTCAGGTATCGGGTTGAATATGAAGCTTTGTGTAAAGTAGAAGCAGAACAAAATGAATTTATTGACCAATTTATTTTTCAGAAATGAACTGAAAATTTCACTTTTATAGTAGGAAGGCAAAACAAAAAAAGCCCCTCAAAACCAAAAAAACCTCTGTAGCATTCCAGCGGCTTGACCAATGACCTGTCACAAGAGGTGGCGTGTAAGGAATGCAGCCCCCTGAAGACAGCACTACAAGTCTGGGGGAGCCAGTTTTAAACATCAGTGCACAGCTGCTGCTGGTGGCCCTACAGTGTACGTTCTCACTTCTTATGCTTAATTGGAACTAAGCAGCTTGTAAACTTTCATCCTTTTTTTGTAAATTCACAAAGCTTTGGAAGGAGAATACATTTTTGTTTTCAAATGGCTTGATGTACCTTTTTTTCCTGTTGCCCTTGAAATATGTTTAACCCCTCGTGAGAGAACCCTGGATTCTCTATCCCCCGTCCACAAAACAAACCAGGCAGTGGTCAGCAGCTACCTTTATTTGGATCACTCATGTGAGTCAGACAGTACCACTAATCAGACCAATATGGCTTGTGAGCAAAATGGGTGGAAATAGAGGGAACTGACTGGGACCTGTTGTCTAACATCATTTTAAGGTTGGACTTGAGCAGAGACTTAGAGAAAGCTGATGGAATGCCAAGCATCAACGTGAAGGACCCTCTATGCACACAGTGGATGTTATGCCTGGCTGTAGCCACCTTCCCTTCTGAGAACAAGATGGGAACCACTGAAGTGTATTAAAGGATTAAGTTATCCACTAGGAAGCATACTAGCACACTTCCAGATCAGCCTTGAGATGCTAGACTTCAGATACAGGAACCTGTGTCAGGTGGCTTCTAGAAATGTGGAAGACTAAGATTTAGAAATAGAATAAACTAACTTAAAAACAAACAAACAAACAAAAACCTTCCAGGATGATCTGTTTACAACAGCAACAAAAACATTTTCCAGTTTAATCCATTTCTGACTGAAAGTCATTGTTGGGCTGACCCTTAAGGAAAACTAAGTTTAAACTTCTTTGCATAGTATTTTTTCTTTTTTCCTTGGGTTAGAGGTGGGGACAAGAAAACATTGATATAGTTTTGAATTAACATTAAAGAGGCAAAATTTCACATTTAAAATGGCCCAAAATATACTGTTCATTTTGCTGACAGGTGATAACACTCTTGAGAATCAGGTGTGGAGGGTTTAGTCATAATAAGCATATATGCTGTAGGTCAGGTGACTCATGAACATGTCAAACAGGCCATGTTCTTTAGCAGTTTCTGGTCTGGTCCTGCTTTTAGTAATCTTGCGGTGGAACTCAGGCACACAGGTATTTGGTACTACTTCCTTATAAGCTAGCCCACACCCCTTTGCCCACTCTCAAGCTGATCTGTCTGTTCATCCCAGTGCCCTTAGAAGGTGAAGGTTTGGGCTGGGCCCAGTGGTTGACGTCTGTAATCCCAGCACTTAGGGAGACTGAGGTGGGCCGATCACTTGAGCCTAGGTGTTCGAGACCAACCTGGGCAACATGGCAAAACCCCGTCTCCACAAAAAAAAAAAAAAAAAAAAATAGCCATACGTGTTGGTACACGCCTGCAGTTCCAGCTACTTGGGAGGCTGAGGAAGATAGCTTGAGCCCAGGAGGCAGAGGTTGCAGTGAGCTGAGATCATGCCACTGCCCTTTACTCCAGCCTGGGCAACAGAGTGAGACTGTCTTTTTTTTTTTTAAAAAAAAAAAAAAAAGGTGAGGGTTTGACGTGGTTCCTGACGCCAGTGGTTCAAATGCTGCTGAAGATGTGGATTCTGAGCAGTGTTCCTCGTATTGTATCCAACAAGCAACCACCCTGTAGGCATCTCTACCCTGAGCCAGTGGTTGTTTCCTTCATTTTTTTTTTCTTTTCTCCTCATACTTGTAGTAGGGGCTCCGCAACATGAAAATTAAAAGTATGAACGGGATGAGTAAGTAGGGGGCATAGACAGATATAAGCGTTAACCGTTCATGCAAAGTCTCAGGTCTTTGCCCCTTGAAACCACTGGCTTTGGAGAAATCCTCAAACAGAAATGTGGAGAGTATTGGAATTAAGGTCGTCATGGTGTGAACGGAGTAGATGATTGCAGGAGTTCGAATCCACTTGCAGCTTCCTGAGGTAGTCAGGGGAAAAGAAAAATGGTTAGGTCTGTTCATGACTCAAAGGTGTCCATGACCTTCCCACTGTCTCTGCCTGCCTGCTTTCTTCTACTCCCTTCTCCCAGTGGAAACTCAGAACTGGAAACCTGGATGTGCCACACTGCCCAACATGCAGATTTATGTGACAGCTGACAGCTCGCCGAAGAACCAAGAATATAACTCAGAACATAACTCAGCAAAACTCTAGGGCAATAAAACCGCCATTACCTGTTAAAACCTGTGTGGGATAAAATTCCAGGGGAGGGAAATCCCTGCCCCATGGCATCTGTTTGTTCAGTAATTATATATAGGTGAGAGGATCAGGAGGCAGATTCAGTGACCCCAGGGGATGCCAATGGGAAACAAGCATTTTCAGCGGTTCTAGCTTCGTTATCAAGTACACGTGTGTGGTCACCTTTTTTAAAAAGCATTGATTATAAGAACACTAAGAATAATTTTAAAATGAGAAGCACGTTAGGGATTAGCCTGATGCTACAGCTTATAAGTCAGTATGATACTATCCAACACAGAGAAATAAAAGCCAACAAAAAGAGAAATTAATTCTGTTGGGGAACAAAACAAAAGGGAACAAGCTCATCGTTTAAGTGGTCTCAGGTTTCATGTGTATGCAAGGGATTTCTAGACTGAGGCAGCCGTGCAGCCCCACTGACCACAGACATGAACCTGAGCCACACTAATGTCCCTTTACAAGATTTACCCTGGTTATTTCCCCCAGATCCTATGGCATCCTCCCACAAACTATGGGGACCATCCCCTTCCCTTTGGAGATACTTCCCCAAAAGATTTCTGGGACCTGATTTCTGGGTAAAAATGGGATTTTCCCACCATTTACCAACCTTTGAGGAAGGCATACGTTGCAATGGGAAAGAAAGGCAGCTGAAACACAAGCTCGCAAAACAGAAAGGACTTAAACCAGGCTGGGGGCTCCTGCAACAGCGGGTCTTTGAACTCCTTAGCATACCACTTCAGCAGGTTTCTAAACTGAAAAAGAAAATGATCGTGATGAATTACAGCCACCTGGCCTCAACAGGCTCGGTTCTAGCTCATTTGAAAATACACTGGAGGAGCCTGTCATTAATTAGCACCCCCAACCCCAGCAGCAGATGGCATGTCCAGCTGGCTTTTGTGACACAGCCTAGATGGTCATTTAATAAAAACTTACTATCCCTAACTCAAATGTTCCCTTCTCTGTGAAGTTTTCTTAACTCTTCCAGCCCCTTCTTTGTGCTACCCAGCATCTGTTCATAATTCCAAGATAACACATCCAGATGTGTTGGCCACTGTCAGGAGCAACAATAAGTATCTGGCACTTAGTAGGCACTCAGGGTGTTCGCTGAATGAACAAATGTGACATTTCTGCCAACAATATCATTCTTTGTTTAAAAAAACAAACGTGAAAACCATCCTGACACTTTCCCGTTTGCAATGGCAACTACACACCAAGCTCCAAAGGCCAGATTCCCTCAAATGCAGAAATGAATTTCCCTCTTCTTTTCTGGGGGTGGGGGTGGCAGTGAAAGGGGAAGTAAATCTAACCTCTGTGGCGATGTAATTTTGGACACTTTAATTCCAATATGGCAAACAAGTTCCTTATCATTCTTAACTCGCCTAATTCTAATTTTTGGTTTTTAGGAGACAGAATTTTAGTGGAAGAACAAACTCTGCCCCAAACTACAAACTACCTGGTAGCTTCTTGGTTATGCAGGGCTTTAGCGTCTCAGTTCTAGCTTGGGCCCCACGCTTCTAATTACCCTGTCAAATAAAAAGGATGTGGATCCATGCTGACCTGGCTACAGGCAGAGAAAAGAAGCAGAGTTTAAGGCTGCCCATCTTGGGCTTTTATAGGAGCCCAAAGCCTAGTGCTCTTGGCTCTATGTGGACTACTAAACGTCTGTAACATCACATTTTACCTCCTAGATGAGGCATTGTCCTGACACGTAGGCCTTCAAAGACAAATCAGTCTTGATATTATGATTAATAAAGGCAACTCGAGGGTAAGAATTTATCTTACAATGGAAAATCCAAGAATATTTTTCCTGTTAATTTTTAATCAAAAGATAAAGGCTCACTATTGTGAAATAGAAGCCCCACTGCTGCAAGAGCACTTTAAGCAAACATCCAGAAACAAATATCCTGTTAGCATATTTTTGATTTCAGAAAGGCTCTGGCTAGATAACCAATTTATTGACCAAAGGATCTCCAAATTTGTACTTAATTTGAAATTGAAATTCATAAGCACTTTTCTGGATGGGAATGTGGTTTGAATAGGATTGAATTGATAGGAAACACAAAGGCTAAGTCACTGTCCCTCTCCAGGGTTCTATTTCCTCATCTATAAAATAAGCAACTTGGACTAGATGTTTTCTTAAGATCCCTTTTTTGCTTTTTAGATTTTTAAAAATACTGGATGAAACTACCTGCTTTAAAAGATTGACTGTAAAATTATTATTTTTGAGACAGTCTCTGTTGCCCAGGCTGGTGGAGTATGGTGATTTGATCTCGGCCCACTGCAGCCTCAACATCCTGGGCTCAGATGATTCTCTCACCTCAGCTTCCCCAGTAGCTGGGACTGCAGGTATGCACCACCAAACTCAGCTAATTTTCTGTAGAGATGGGGTTTTGCCACATTGCCCAGGCTGGTTTTGAACTCCTGGGCTCAAGCGATCCTCTTGCTTCGGCCTCCCAAAGTACTGGGATTACAGGTGTGAGTCACTGCACCCGGCCTGACTGCAAAATGTAAGAGGCATTCTGGGTCAGGCCCGGTGGCTCATGCCTATAGTCCCAGCACTTTGGGAGGTCAAGGCAGGTGGATCACCTGAGGTCAGGAGTTGGAGACCAGCCTGGCCAATATGGTGAAACCCCGTCTCTACTAAAAATACAAAAATTAGCTGGGTGTGGTGGCTCACGCCTATATTCCCAGCTACTCTGGAGGCTGAAGCAGGAGAATTGCTTGAACCCAGGAGGTGGGAGCTTGCAGTGAGCTGAGATAGAGCCACTGCACTCCAGCCTGGGTGACAGAGCGAGACCCCATCTCAAAAAAAAAAAAAAAAAAAAAGGCATTCTGGCTATTTGAACCTCATTTTCTATTCAATTTGCATACAACCTTTCTGATCCAACTATTTCGTAAATTGAGGCAGACTCGTATAGCACTTTAATTTCTAAGGCCTACAAGATGAGATCAGCGAAA